CCCACATTACCTATTGAGAATGGGTTTTCGATTTTTTCATATAAAATTCATGAAGTTTATTTTGAAATAAGCTTTTACCCTAAATAAATCATTACCTCAACCTAATAGGAAAAAAGGTTTGTAGGTGACCCTATATAAAGAGTGATGAAGAAAATTTGCCGCATAATTTTTCTTGAGAAGAAAACCCACTTTGTGAAAGTGAGAGTTCAATTCAAAGCCAAGAGAGAAAATACAATTACAAGAAAAGTGTTTTTTGTTCTTCTAATTTGAGTTGAGATTTTTGAGAAAAATTTCAACACAATATTCTTCGTTCAATTTGTTCGCGTGTTCCATTGTTCAAAGAGTTGATAGCAAGGATCGGTCTCGGTGTGGATACGCATAGAGTCTTCGCACTATCGAAGAATTTGAAATGAGACTTTCTTCACCAGGTACGTCTTAGATCCGATCTATTGACATGTAAATAAGTTTTAAACACAAAAAGATCTGCCTAGGATTATTATTGTCTTCCGCTGCGTGTTACGAACACCTATACGCAATCCATCGTATTAGAATACACTGCAGCTATATACACCTCATTTCCTCCATTAACATCTTTCATATTCAAGGCTATTTGTTGGTCTTCCACCCCTATAATAGTAGCATTCAAGTTTCCAATCCAAAAGCACCATATTTGTCCTATATCCTTGGACAAGCAGTTCTGAAATCCTAGAAACTTCCTGTACGACTAAATTTTTATTTTTGAACCATAGGTTCAAAAATAGCAATAATCTGTAGATTATTTATTTGAACAAGCTTTTTCAACCTGTGATTTGATTTTTTAGATCGCATTCCTCTTATATTCTAGAAAATAGACTTAATCATAAGAAGGATGATGATCGTTCGTTTTGTGTCCTCCCCATATCATGGTTGGATTTTATTCTACCTTGCTTTCCATTCCTCCTATTTCAACTTTTTCCCCTTGCTATTGGCAATAAGCCTTTCTTTCCACTACTTCCTTCGTATGTCTTTGTAACGATCTTATCGGTCGTTTTGAGCATTTGTATTTCGTTCGCCAGTTCTCGGACATGACTAGCCCCGTATAATATATTATAACTTATGTAAATTGTCGCTTTGGTTTTCAGATTAATCCGAACGGATATTGAAGAATGATTCTCAGCTTGAAGCTTTAAAGTTGAAAGGTTTGACTAAGTTTTGACTTTTTAGTATTCGATTTTGGATTTGGATATTTATAATTTGGTTAGCTCCGTTAGGTGATTTTGGACTTGGGAGCGCGTCCGGAATGTGATTTGGAAGTCCTTGGTAGAATTAGGCTTGAATTGGCGAAATTGAAAATTTGGCGTTTCTCGGTCGGTAGTGAAAATTTTGATATCGGGGCCGGAAGGAATTCTGTAAGTTGGAATAGGTTCGTAGTGTCATTTGTAATGTGTGTGTAAACTTTCAGGTCATTCGGAGGAGGTTTGGTAGGTTTCGGCATCGTTTGCGAAATTTGGAAGTTTAGGAGTTCTTAGGCTTGAATCTGAGGGTGATTCGGTGTTCTGATGTTGTTTTGAGTATTCCGAAGGTTTGACTAAGTTTGAATTTTGATATGTGACTTGTTGGTATTTTTGGTTGAGGTCCTGAGGGTCTCGGGATAATTTTGGATGGTTATTGAGAGTTTGGAAATTTGGTAATACAGCTGAAGCTGCTGATTCTGTCTTAACCGCATTTGCGGAGTGGGAACCGCAAGTGCGAGGTCCGCAGAAACAGGTATGAGGCGCAGGTGCGCAGATGGGATCGCATGTGCGGCTTGGTCCCCATATCTGCAATGACCACAGATGCGGTCAGGATATCACAGAAGCGGAAGTAGGCTTTTAATGAAATTCCGCATAAGCGGAAAGGTTTTCGCATGAGTGGTCCCGCAGATGTGGGAATGGGACCGCATATGCGGTTTTGATGGGCAGAACCTATAAATTGGAGACTTCGCAAAATTTGGATTATTTTCCACCATTCTTGTTCGGACTTGGAGCTTTTTGGAGGATTTTGAAGAGTGAATCAAGGGTTTTCGTGGAGGTAAGCTACGTGAACTCAATACTCATGATTATGGTGATTTTCGATTATTTAAGCATGTAATTAAAAGAAATTAGGGATGAAATTGTGGGGTTAGGGCTTGAAAATTAGAGAGTTTGATTTGAGGATTTGAGGGACCATTTGACGTCGGATTTTGATGAATTTTGTATGTATAGACTCGTGAGTGAAAGAGCTTTCTAGTTTTGTAGTTTTTTCGGATTTCGAGACGCGAGCCCGGGGGCCGGGTTTGGGTGAATTTCGAGATTTTGGTCTAAATTGATAGTTTTTCGTATGGAATTGGTTCATTGACCTATATTGATTACATTGTATTGCTTTGGTTAGATTCGGGATATTTGGAGGCCAATTCCAGAGGCAAGGGAATTGCGGAGTAGGGATTTGACCGGTTTGAGGTAACTAATGATTGTAAATCTAGTCCCGAGGGTATGAAACCCCGAATTTTACATCGTTTCAATATTGTAAGGTAGCGCATATTCTAGGTGACAAGCGTGTGGGCGTGCACCGTTGGGAATTGTGACTTGGTCCATCCCATAGCAACTATTGAGTTGCGTATTTTGACTGAATCTATACGATACTTATGTGATTTAGAAAGAATTTCTATAAATTAGGCTGAATGTCATATTTGGACCTTGTGCCAAACCTGTTTGGACCCTTAGGGGCCTTTTTATTAATATCATGTCACTGTTTTTGATTTAAGATCCATACTATGTCATGTTGTGTTTACTGATTTCATACCTCAATCTTTATTACCCCGGTTTTGATGCATAAAATGATATTTTGGGTTGAGCACCCTGTTTTTACTGATAGCCCGAGTGGCTTGAGAGGTTTATGACTGAGTGACGCCAATGGCCTATTTTTGTGAGGATATTTATGGGATCGAACTGCACGTCGCAACATGTTGTTACTGATTCATGATTTGTTGAGGCCGAGGGCCTGATTGATTTATGCTATGAGGTAGATTGTTATGAGGCTGAGGGCCTGATTGATTTATGCCACGAGGTGGCTTGTTATAGTGCTTGGGTTGTAGGAGCCCTTCCAGAGTCTGCACGTCTCTAGTGAGCGCGGGTACCCTGAGTGAGTGATATGATGTTTTGCCCGAGGGGCTGTTCTTGATTCATGTTGTGCCCGAGGGACTATTTACGAGTGATTGCGAGGTATGCCCGAGGGGCTGTATATGAGTGACAATGATATTTGCCCGAGGGGCTATTTATGATTCATGTTTGCCCGATGGGCAGTATACGAGTGATGTTTGCCCGAGGGGTTGTTTATCATTTATGTTGCCCGAGGGACTGTTCACGAGTGATGTTTTGCCTGAGGGGCTATTTATGTTTCATCATTTTTACTCACTGTTCATCACTTTGTTTGAAAACTGTTGAAAGATGTTCTAAACGGTTTTACTGAAACTAGATTTAAATGAGCTGAGTTGATTCAAAATCTTGATTTTAAAATCCTGATGTATTTTACGGAGATTTCATGATATGAACTGTATATGTTTTATTGCTCGTCACTACTAGGGTTGTGCATTTGGATCGGATATCCGAAAACCGATCCGATCCGCTCAATTTCGGATTTCGGATTTCAGATATTTGGATCGGATTCGGATTTGATTTTTTAAAATTTCGGATTGGATTCGGATTTGTATAGTTTGAACCCGATCCGATCCGAAATCCGAATTTATTAAGGGAATAATAAATAATAATTTTATTTTTAGGGTTAGGTCACCTAAGTCCTAACCCTTAGTTCATTCTGCGGTCTGCTGCCTCCGTCTAATTCTCATAAGCAAATTTTTGATGTTGCTGCGTTCTACTTCTCACTTTCTCAGTTAACCCTTCTCACTTTCTCAGTTCTCACGCCTCAGCTCAGGCTCAGTCCTCACTTCACAGCTTCAGTCTTCACTCTTCTTCACGCCTCACAAGTCGCAGACTCGCAGTGTCGCACCCAGAGACTGCTGTGCTGGTGCTGCTCACTTCAGTCTTCACGTGACACCTCAAGGCTCAAGCTGCTCCCTCCTACTCGTCGTTTCCTCTAGCTCTTCTCTGTGTTCTGGCGACCACACTGGTAACTGGTAAGACACTAAGAATTGATGAAATTCTTAAGAAAGACACTAGGGTTAGGTCTCTTTGTTCTCTTTTATTTCTCGAATAAAATTGATGAAATAAATTGGGGGTTTCACTCTTGATTTTCTTAAACAGAAATAGACCATACTATACTACTATTTTGAATCCGATTTTAATTTTAATTTTTTGTTTTGTTTCGTAGATGGAAGATGAGGTAGAGATGGTGAATAAAGTTCAAGCCCTTGTAAAATGTGGTGAAAGTGGTGCTTCAAATGATTCCACAAGCAACGTCGAATCTGATT